AAAAAAAAACAAAAACAAAAAAAAGCAAATAAAAAGAAGCTAAGCTGAAGCAAAGGCAAAAGAAATGTGTAAAGTTTAGTAAATGAAATCATATTGTGATCGAAAGAAATATCGCATCGTAACTAGTGTAGCCCTCTAATTCGTTATCCGTTCCGTTTGCATGTCGTCTCTGCAGCACTACACGAGCATTGCCCACACGCCGGAATCGAACCGCCTAACGATGTCCGCACAGGCGCCACAGCCATCGATGGGCGCTGGCCACACAACACATTCGCCGGTGCTGCTGGCAAATGCCGGCGGTGCCGCCGGCATCAAGTCAACATTTCCACAGCAACAGTTGATCTCATATCCCGCTGTTGCCGCCAATACATCCTCGACAGCATCCTCTGTTTCGCCAGCGACACCGCTGCACGGCGGCAGTCGCTCCGGCAGCATCACCAGCAATGCCAGCGGCAGTGGGCTGCCCACCAACAATAGTAGCCATCATCATCAGCATCAGCATCAGCATCATCATCACCAGCAACAGCAGCAGCAGCAGCAGCATCCGCAACGTCATCCGGCGCTTGCAGGCGGCAGCAGCAGCATCGACTTTGGTGACATGGCCCATGGCATGCGTCAGCATCAGCATCAGCAGCAGCAGCAACAGCAGCTATACCACCATCAACAGCAACATCATCATCAGCAGCTGCTGTCGAGCAGCTTTATGCGGTAAGTGTAAACTATTTCAACTCACCTGGGCCATTGACGTCAGCGTGTTCCCAAAGCCAAAAACCGGGCACTTGATGTGTGTGTGTGTGTGTGGAGGGGGAGGCAGGGGGGCAATCCCCCTCGGTACAGCATGTGTGAGCGAGGAGCTGGGGTATTGGAGCTTGGGGTGGGATACCGAGCAATGGCAGAAACGGCTGTTAATCTTATCAGACGCCAGTCGGCAGGTTGTGGCGACGCTCTGCCCACTGGCGTTTCTCTTTCGCCAAAGCAGCAAAAATGACAGTGTTTAGTGCAATTAGACAGGCCAGCGGTCGTTGCCAACTGGCACAGTGGTACGCAAATGCCGGCTCTCTCTGTCCTCAGAATACTTCTGAAATCAAACATGTGAAACTTACACACACACACACACACACACACAAACATGTGATATACAAACCGCATTTCGTAGCATGCAAAACACTGAGATTCTTAGCGTACCGCAGCGCCAGGATGAAGAGGCCGTAGCTCTTGATGCAGCTCCAGCCCAAGCGATCGTTGTATACGGCCATCATACAACTGCGCAGCTTGAGCCAAGTCTTGGTCACATTACTTGGTAACAGCATATTCACGATTATTCTATCTTTGCGTCGTACAAATAAGTAAGTGGTATTTCGGATTTTACATGCTTTCCGTGGGATAACGACGAAAATTTTGATAATGAGAATTTCACAAAATTTGTCAAAGTCACCGTGTGAGGAAATCAGCAGAAAATGAAATGAATTTGCTCTCCCACTAAAATCAAAAGAGTCGATAATGACGTAAAATGCCTATATAGGCGATGTAGAGAGATTTGCCTTGGCACTGCGTTTTTCACGAAAATCTAAAATAATAAAAAATCGTGTGAGCAAATTTGCAGAAATTTAATAAAATATATATTTCGCTGAAATCGGTAGATAATGACGCAATATTCCGATAAAGATATACGATAAATATTTTTAAAGAGAGAGAAGAAAAGAAAACACTATTTAAAAGTTATAATAAATAAAATAAATAAATGTATAAAA